ACTCACACACACACACACACACACACACCCACACTCAGACTCTCACACACACTCACTCACACACACCCACACTCAGACTCACACACACACACACTCACACACACACTCACACACTCACACCCACACTCAGACTCACACACACACGCTCACTCGCTCGCTCGCTCACTCACACACACACACACTCACTCACTCGCTGTTGCTGGACCTGAAGAGTTTTGAATTGCTCTCTCGCTTGCCCTTAATTAAAACCATCCACCCATAGTGTGCTCACGTTACCAGCTCATTGTGCAAGCGTGGGAACCTTTCTGAAAAAAAGCGTTTGAAGTGATCTGGGAAAGTTTTTAGGATTCAGCAAGGATTGGTACTGTGCAGACGCTCTAAATCTGCTCTGTTTTCAGATCGCAGCGTCGTACGGAAACATTATTTGTGTGTTTGAGCCGGTGGAGGTCAGTCCACAAGGAAGAGCACAAAAAGTGAGTTTTATTCTGGAATAAATGCACTCTATTAAAGCGGTCATGAATTGGGTTGGGAATCGAAAATCAATTCCAATTCTAGAATCGGATACTTGTTGTAAAATTAAAAAATTCAATCCACCTATCCATTCCTGTGTGTGCATCTTTTTTTAGGTGGTGAAAAGTGGCTGTTTTTGAATCATTCATTCAAGAGATTCATTCAAAAACACAGAATCATCCAGTAATAAAACAAGTAAATCACTCCATTCATAATATTCTTCTTCAGAATTGTGAGAGAACTACAACCTTCTTTAAACCCTTTAACTGTCACGGGACGCCTAAGTTTTCTTCACTATATTACAATTAAATCCTAATGTAATCATGACATACTATATATCATTGGAAAAGTCTAAGACTCCTAAATAGATATTTTACCTTTTTTTTTTTTTTTTACAAATTATGTAGGAATTATGTAGTTACATATCATAACAGGAGTTCTGACCTTCGTCACAAAAAGTCTTTATTTTAGTAATCATCATAAGTTATATACCATTGAAAGCTTAAAATCTCCAAATTCATCCTGTGAAAACCATTTTGAACACACACCATTTGTACTTCAAAATCCTTTAGCGGTCTCCTCCACCTGACCGGGGGTGTGTATTCTGGTCTTTTAGAATTAAAACTTTTTATGATCTTGACAACGATACATATTGATGGAAAGCTCTGAGTCTCAAGATTCCATATTTGGTGGTCATTTTGGGATAGATGTAATATTGAGAGAGAAATTTATAGATTTGACAGAAATGCATCAAAAAAAAATTCAACGTAGTTTGGGTGGCACCCGGTGGCTTTTTTTGGTATAACACCTAAACAAAATTACATATGAACCTCAGTTTTTTTATATTGACTTCAAATTTGGAACACAACTTATGTAGACACGTGGCTTTAATGTTATAGCAATTTTGTATTTTTAACTATTTAAAAAATTTTTTTATTTTAAATAAAATAAAAATAGTACGATACATTTTCTTTACAGTAAATTTAAACTTCTTTAACTTTTTAATACTTTAATTTTATTAAATGATTTCACTTCTGTAATAATCTGCTAATTGTCTTCTTTAGAAAGAGACCAACCTTAGGTCTGTATTCAAAAGCGTGCATTAATTATAATAATTTAAGTTTGGATCGTGCACTTTCTCGTGAATTTTCAAAAATGGGGATGGCAGTTAAGGGGTTAAAAAAAGTCTCAGTTTATCCAGAATCGTGTCGCTCTATTTTGCACACAAACAGCTCTTAATCGAGCCGGCTGATTTTTGTTTACGGTATTATTCAGCAGCAATTAAATGTTTTGCAAAAAGAGACACAGAATAATTATGTTTGATATCTAAATGTTTGACTTTTATTGGAATCCAAACTGGGAATTGATAAGAATCGGAATCGATACAATTCAAACGATACCCAACCCTAGTCATGAAATGCAAAGTCATGGGTTCGATTCCCAGCGACTGCATGAACCGAAGGCATGTATTCCTTGAATGCAATGCATAAAAGCGTCTGTCAGATGCATGCATGTGAAGGATTTGCTGTGTGTGTTTGTGCTCGGCAGAAGCGGAGCTATCATTGGCAGAAGAGCGGGCAGTTCGTCCTTCAGTCGGTCGCACAGATCCTGACGTGGCACCCCACAGGTACGTGAGATCAGTAGATCAGTGTCCTGTGTGCGACGGGCCGCTGACCTCTCTCTCTGACGCTGTGCGCAGGCTCGTGTGTGCTGACGGGCTCGCGGGCTCGTCAGCTGTGGTGTGACGCTCAGTCCAGCGCAGAGACCGAACCCGCTGCTCCTCAGCGCTCCTGGAGAAGCGTATGGCAGTGCAAGTCAGTGTTCGTCCAGCACATCACATCTCTGAATACACGTCAGGCAGCTCCAGTGTTTTATGCCTTAAATAGATTACCATTCATTTACAACAGCTTCGAACGCGACGCGAGCGCAACAGTCAAACACGTCCATGTTTACATAGAAAAAACAATGGAAAAGCAGCGCAACAGAATTAAAAACCTGTAAAGAACTGCTACTGTATGTCTGATATTTCATGTGTGCATCATGGTGACAAGCTGAAAGCTGCTGTTCATTGTTTTTACAGAACATTTATAGTTAATAATAGTCTAACGTTACTTGTGTTATACCGTCAGTCGTTTTGAATTACCGTGACTTTTGAGATTTTTTTAAAGCATCTTCCTTGTATTATTTCTGAACATATAATAGAAGACAAGATTGTACAAGATGTAGTTGTAGCTCATGCATCTTTTCTGCAAAGATATTTAACAAGTGATCTGTTTAACGTTTACACCATGTTGACAGCTTCATGTGTGCTGCGCTCGGAATATAATTTTCTTTAACTAGAGGGCTAATAAAGTAAAAGTTACTTGCATCGTGCTGTAGTTACATTTTCAAGGTGACAAGGTGACAAGGTAAAATCTAAAATCGGTCAAACGTACTGAAAAAAAAATCAAGATTTACATTTTTCGCCATATGGCCCAGCCCTAGACCGCACAGAATGAAGAAATAAATACGTTAATTTGTACACAGATTACAATACAATTTGGGAAAAATATTGTGAATTTCATAGGGCCCTAAAAATGTCATTTTTGTTAAACGTTTAAAAAAATGGTTGTTACATTGTATGCATTTCATGATTTCAATTAATTAACTAAAAAAAAATGAATTTAGAAAAAATAAAATGGATTTTATAAGTCCCTAAAATTTACATTTTTGTTAAACCTTTAATTGAATATATTTCATGATTCCAATTCATTAGACATGCTTTTTGATGACTAAAATTGAAGCATTAAGTTTGTGTTCTCAGTAAAGTCTGTCTGGTTGTCACAGGTCCGCCGCTCCCACTCACTTCATCAAGTTCTCCCCGGATGGAGAGTTTTTTGCCACCGCAGGACAGGTTTGTGTGACGTGTGCACATTATATATGTATGAGAATTAATTAACTAATGAAGCCCTAATGTATTCTATTGTAATTGTACAAAACAATCATATTTTGTACATGCAACTTGGTCTTATTGTAAATTTAAAAAAAAAAAGTCATATATTTAAACAAGTTTACAAAAGTATTTGATTTTTTATCCAATATTAAATTGAAAAATTGTGTAATTTTTATTTATTTATTTTTCGGTTGTACAAATAATATTTTTAAATGATCGTATAGAGTTTATAGAATTATTGTCGTTATTAAGACTATTTTAAATCGTATTACTCGACATTAATATAATTCATGTTCAAGTTTATGCATAAAGCACATTTAATTGCTGTACAGAAATACAGTAAAATAACAAACTCATAAGACGTTATCAGCCGTGCATATAGATCTCAAACAACATCAAAGGCTATGGAGAAAAAAGTGTCTTTGATGCTGATGTAAAATGATAAATAAATCCGCAAGTTTACCATCAGTACAGACGCAGCATCTATTGCTTCTCCCATGCTTTCTCACTAACTTGGAAGCTCTGGGCTTAAAAAGAGTTATGAGTTTCCCACTGAAACATGTTCACTCAGCTCCTAAATACGCTCTTATATTGACTTCAAATTTGGAACACAACTTATGTAGACACGTGGCTTTAATGTTATAGCAATTTTGTATTTTTAACTATTTAAAAAAAATATTTATTTTAAATAAAATAAAAATAGTACGATACATTTTCTTTACAGTAAATTTAAACTTCTTTAACTTTTTAATACTTTAATTTTATTAAATGATTTCACTTCTGTAATAATCTGCTAATTGTCTTCTTTAGAAAGAGACCAACCTTAGGTCTGTATTCAAAAGCGTGCATTAATTATAATAATTTAAGTTTGGATCGTGCACTTTCTCGTGAATTTTCAAAAATGGGGATGGCAGTTAAGGGGTTAAAAAAAGTCTCAGTTTATCCAGAATCGTGTCGCTCTATTTTGCACACAAACAGCTCTTAATCGAGCCGGCTGATTTTTGTTTACGGTATTATTCAGCAGCAATTAAATGTTTTGCAAAAAGAGACACAGAATAATTATGTTTGATATCTAAATGTTTGACTTTTATTGGAATCCAAACTGGGAATTGATAAGGATCGGAATCGATACAATTCAAACGATACCCAACCCTAGTCATGAAATGCAAAGTCATGGGTTCGATTCCCAGCGACTGCATGAACCGAAGGCATGTATTCCTTGAATGCAATGCATAAAAGCGTCTGTCAGATGCATGCATGTGAAGGATTTGCTGTGTGTGTTTGTGCTCGGCAGAAGCGGAGCTATCATTGGCAGAAGAGCGGGCAGTTCGTCCTTCAGTCGGTCGCACAGATCCTGACGTGGCACCCCACAGGTACGTGAGATCAGTGTGTGCTTGTCCTGTGTGCGACGGGCCGCTGACCTCTCTCTCTGACGCTGTGCGCAGGCTCGTGTGTGCTGACGGGCTCGTCGTGTCTGCAGCTGTGGTGTGACGCTCAGTCCAGCGCAGAGACCGAACCCGCTGCTCCTCAGCGCTCCTGGAGAAGCGTATGGCAGTGCAAGTCAGTGTTCGTCCAGCACATCACATCTCTGAATACACGTCAGGCAGCTCCAGTGTTTTATGCCTTAAATAGATTACCATTCATTTACAACAGCTTCGAACGCGACGCGAGCGCAACAGTCAAACACGTCCATGTTTACATAGAAAAAACAATGGAAAAGCAGCGCAACAGAATTAAAAACCTGTAAAGAACTGCTACTGTATGTCTGATATTTCATGTGTGCATCATGGTGACAAGCTGAAAGCTGCTGTTCATTGTTTTTACAGAACATTTATAGTTAATAATAGTCTAACGTTACTTGTGTTATACCGTCAGTCGTTTTGAATTACCGTGACTTTTGAGATTTTTTTAAAGCATCTTCCTTGTATTATTTCTGAACATATAATAGAAGACAAGATTGTACAAGATGTAGTTGTAGCTCATGCATCTTTTCTGCAAAGATATTTAACAAGTGATCTGTTTAACGTTTACACCATGTTGACAGCTTCATGTGTGCTGCGCTCGGAATATAATTTTCTTTAACTAGAGGGCTAATAAAGTAAAAGTTACTTGCATCGTGCTGTAGTTACATTTTCAAGGTGACAAGGTGACAAGGTAAAATCTAAAATCGGTCAAACGTACTGAAAAAAAAATCAAGATTTACATTTTTCGCCATATGGCCCAGCCCTAGACCGCACAGAATGAAGAAATAAATACGTTAATTTGTACACAGATTACAATACAATTTGGGAAAAATATTGTGAATTTCATAGGGCCCTAAAAATTTCATTTTTGTTAAACGTTTAAAAAAATGGTTGTTACATTGTATGCATTTCATGATTTCAATTAATTAACTAAAAAAAAATGAATTTAGAAAAAATAAAATGGATTTTATAAGTCCCTAAAATTTACATTTTTGTTAAACCTTTAATTGAATATATTTCATGATTCCAATTCATTAGACATGCTTTTTGATGACTAAAATTGAAGCATTAAGTTTGTGTTCTCAGTAAAGTCTGTCTGGTTGTCACAGGTCCGCCGCTCCCACTCACTTCATCAAGTTCTCCCCGGATGGAGAGTTTTTTGCCACCGCAGGACAGGTTTGTGTGACGTGTGCACATTATATATGTATGAGAATTAATTAACTAATGAAGCCCTAATGTATTCTATTGTAATTGTACAAAACAATCATATTTTGTACATGCAACTTGGTCTTATTGTAAATTTAAAAAAAAAAAGTCATATATTTAAACAAGTTTACAAAAGTATTTGATTTTTTATCCAATATTAAATTGAAAAATTGTGTAATTTTTATTTATTTATTTTTCGGTTGTACAAATAATATTTTTAAATGATCGTATAGAGTTTATAGAATTATTGTCGTTATTAAGACTATTTTAAATCGTATTACTCGACATTAATATAATTCATGTTCAAGTTTATGCATAAAGCACATTTAATTGCTGTACAGAAATACAGTAAAATAACAAACTCATAAGACGTTATCAGCCGTGCATATAGATCTCAAACAACATCAAAGGCTATGGAGAAAAAAGTGTCTTTGATGCTGATGTAAAATGATAAATAAATCCGCAAGTTTACCATCAGTACAGACGCAGCATCTATTGCTTCTCCCATGCTTTCTCACTAACTTGGAAGCTCTGGGCTTAAAAAGAGTTATGAGTTTCCCACTGAAACATGTTCACTCAGCTCCTAAATACGCTCTTTCTGACTTGAATGCACAGTTATTGAAGGATTGTGTTGTTGCAGGACGACTGTCTGGTGAAGGTGTGGTACAGCAGCAGTAAATGGCAAGCAGACGTCACCAAACTCTTCACGCCGCTCGACCTGCGCTCCGGAGCCGAGATCAACTTCTCCTTCATTTACCTGGCTCACCCTCGCTCCGTCACCGGCTTCTCCTGGAGGAAGACCAGCAGATACATGCCCAGGTGAGTAGAGGCGTGTAGAGAGCCCTGCTGACCGCTCTGTCCCTCCGGACATTTCAAACTGATTTTTAATCTCTTGTAAAACTAGATTTGATCGAGTGGTATTTGCTAGATGTCGCATAGGTCATACAAGACTGACTCATGCATGCTCTGCAAGATTCTCCTTTCTGTCAAACATATTTGTGATGCGAGCTAGGAAAACCCGACGTTTTCAGGAAATAAAAAAAAAAATAGGTGGAATGTCAAAATTGGGTTTTTGTTAAATTATTATTCTATAACATCTGGGATGCACTACCGGTCAAAAGTGTGGGATCAGTGAGAGTTGTAATGTTTTTAAAGACGTCTCTTCTGCTCATCAAGGCTGCATTTATTTGATCAAAAATACTGAAAAAAAACAGTAATCTTGCAAAATGTTATTAGAATATAAAATACTGGTTTCTATTTTAATATCCTTTAAAATATAATGTATTTCTGTGATGCAGCGCTGAATTTCCATCATCATTACTCCAGAATAAAGCGTCACATGATCTTCAGAAATCATTCTAATATGCTGATTTATTATTAGAGTTATCAATGTTGCTACAGTTGTGTTTTTTGGAAACTGATACTTTTTTCAGGATTCTTTGATGAATAAAAAGTTAAAAAGAACAGCATTTATTCAAAATATAAATCTTTTCTAACAATATAAATCTTTGCTACATTTTTCGCCATATGGCCCAGCCCTAGACCGCACAGAATGAAGAAATAAATACGTTAATTTGTACACAGATTACAATACAATTTGGGAAAAATATTGTGAATTTCATAGGGCCCTAAAAATGTCATTTTTGTTAAACGTTTAAAAAAATGGTTGTTACATTGTATGCATTTCATGATTTCAATTAATTAACTAAAAAAAAATGAATTTAGAAAAAATAAAATGGATTTCATAAGTCCCTAAAATTTACATTTTTGTTAAACCTTTAATTGAATATATTTCATGATTCCAATTCATTAGACATGCTTTTTGATGACTAAAATTGAAGCATTAAGTTTGTGTTCTCAGTAAAGTCTGTCTGGTTGTCACAGGTCCGCCGCTCCCACTCACTTCATCAAGTTCTCCCCGGATGGAGAGTTTTTTGCCACCGCAGGACAGGTTTGTGTGACGTGTGCACATTATATATGTATGAGAATTAATTAACTAATGAAGCCCTAATGTATTCTATTGTAATTGTACAAAACAATCATATTTTGTACATGCAACTTGGTCTTATTGTAAATTTAAAAAAAAAAGTCATATATTTAAACAAGTTTACAAAAGTATTTGATTTTTTATCCAATATTAAATTGAAAAATTGTGTAATTTTTATTTATTTATTTTTCGGTTGTACAAATAATATTTTTAAATGATCGTATAGAGTTTATAGAATTATTGTCGTTATTAAGACTATTTTAAATCGTATTACTCGACATTAATATAATTCATGTTCAAGTTTATGCATAAAGCACATTTAATTGCTGTACAGAAATACAGTAAAATAACAAACTCATAAGACGTTATCAGCCGTGCATATAGATCTCAAACAACATCAAAGGCTATGGAGAAAAAAGTGTCTTTGATGCTGATGTAAAATGATAAATAAATCCGCAAGTTTACCATCAGTACAGACGCAGCATCTATTGCTTCTCCCATGCTTTCTCACTAACTTGGAAGCTCTGGGCTTAAAAAGAGTTATGAGTTTCCCACTGAAACATGTTCACTCAGCTCCTAAATACGCTCTTTCTGACTTGAATGCACAGTTATTGAAGGATTGTGTTGTTGCAGGACGACTGTCTGGTGAAGGTGTGGTACAGCAGCAGTAAATGGCAAGCAGACGTCACCAAACTCTTCACGCCGCTCGACCTGCGCTCCGGAGCCGAGATCAACTTCTCCTTCATTTACCTGGCTCACCCTCGCTCCGTCACCGGCTTCTCCTGGAGGAAGACCAGCAGATACATGCCCAGGTGAGTAGAGGCGTGTAGAGAGCCCTGCTGACCGCTCTGTCCCTCCGGACATTTCAAACTGATTTTTAATCTCTTGTAAAACTAGATTTGATCGAGTGGTATTTGCTAGATGTCGCATAGGTCATACAAGACTGACTCATGCATGCTCTGCAAGATTCTCCTTTCTGTCAAACATATTTGTGATGCGAGCTAGGAAAACCCGACGTTTTCAGGAAATAAAAAAAAAAATAGGTGGAATGTCAAAATTGGGTTTTTGTTAAATTATTATTCTATAACATCTGGGATGCACTACCGTTCAAAAGTTTGGGATCAGTGAGAGTTGTAATGTTTTTAAAGACGTCTCTTCTGCTCATCAAGGCTGCATTTATTTGATCAAAAATACTGAAAAAAAACAGTAATCTTGCAAAATGTTATTAGAATATAAAATACTGGTTTCTATTTTAATATCCTTTAAAATATAATGTATTTCTGTGATGCAGCGCTGAATTTCCATCATCATTACTCCAGAATAAAGCGTCACATGATCTTCAGAAATCATTCTAATATGCTGATTTATTATTAGAGTTATCAATGTTGCTACAGTTGTGTTTTTTGGAAACTGATACTTTTTTCAGGATTCTTTGATGAATAAAAAGTTCAAAAGAACAGCATTTATTCAAAATATAAATCTTTTCTAACAATATAAATCTTTGCTGTCACTTCTTATCAATTTAACACGTCCTCGCTGAATAAAAGTTTTAATTTCTTTCAGAAAAAGAAAGAATATAAATGTACCGACCCCAAACTGTTGAACGGTAGAGTATATTGTTAGAAACTATTTCTATTTTAAATAAACACTCTTCTTTTTAACTTTCTATTCATCAAAGAATCCTGAAAAAAGTATCACAGCTTCCAAACAAATATGAAGCAGCAACAGTTTCCAGCTCTGATAATAAATCAGCATATTAATGATTTCTGAAGATCATGAGACACTGAAGACTGCAGTTATGATGCTGCGCATCACAGAAATAACTTAGATTTTAATGTATATTAATAAAAGTTATTTTACATCCTAATAATATTTCACAATATTAAATTTTTCCCTGTATTTTTAATCAAATAAATGCAGCCTTGAGCAGAAGACACTCCTGTAAAAACATTACAAACTTTCTGATCCCAAACTTTTGACCGGTAGTGTAACTTGGCCAAATTCACTTGTTTAGTGCGGAAAAATAGCGATTTAATTGTGGCCAGACAATAAATAAGACCGTGTCTTCTCTAGTTTGCTAACACGCGCTGCTGAGGTGCTTTCCCTTAGCTCTACAAAGACAGTTCACCTTTCAAAATAAACAATGTAACGTATGTAATAAAGGCATATCCCTGCACATTTTCCGCTAGTCCTGTGTGATCTACAGCATGCGGAGTTTGGGGTAATGTTAGCTTGTCTGCTTGTGCAGTGACAGCTCTCGTTCTTAAATGGACCAGCACCACTTTCATATTAACACTATGCATTACTTTCATTTAGTTCAAACGGTGACAGCGTGAAATAAAACTACAAGTTCAGAACAAAAAACTATAAGTTACAGTTCTAACTGTGTCTGGTTATGTATTATAAACCCGGAGATCGCCTGCACGCTGTAATCTGTGATGTTTTATGAGCAGATATACACTGAAGTGTTGTGTGTTCCTTGGGGTCATTTAGTATCTTTTACAACATGTACAGTGACTAAAATAGGTCTTTAACACAGTAAAGTGACTGTTACTTGTGATACTTGACTGTTGTGCTTTTATTTTCATTCAAACCATTTCTTTAAACCAGTTTTTTTTTCAAAATTCTGTTCCTGAAAATCAGCCAACTTCAGATAACCATAACTTTTGTTACGTTCAAGCTATGGACGAAATAAAAACAGTTTTGGAAATGGCATGAACCCAGCTATAACTATAATACCCAGCATATAACTATAACTATATGAACCCAGCTTGAACTATAATAGGTAAAAAAAAAATGTCCTAGATTGCATCACATTTTATTGGACTGTCCCACTTTTAATGTATGTAGAAAACTCACTTAAAGATTTATTAAGTATAATTTTTATCATACGTTAATGTAAAAAATCTTGTGTAATATAACTTGTGTTTGTTTGTTTGTTTGCTGGTTTTTATTGTATTTGTTATAGGCTACTTTTTAATTGTTTTTGCCATGAAAATAGCTTAAGATGCTGACACGGCATTACATAAAAATATACTACTGCTTCCAGAGGCGCCGTGTGTAACGTGCTGCTGACCTGCTGCAAGGACAGCGTGTGTCGCCTGTGGGCCGAAACACTGCTGCCCAGCGACTGTCTTCTGTCTGGACTCAGACACAATCACTGCAGCAATGACGTGATGAAGAATAACAGCATGAAGAAGAGCTCCAGCGACACCCGAGCGCAGAACCAGAACCCGCTGGAGGTGAGACCAAAAAATTATTCTTTTACTTAGTGTCTTGTCTTCTAGTATAAATATCGAAACATTCTTGAATCAAGATGATTCCTGGCTTCCTGGCTCCATCTGATGGTCACGATCGCTGCATCTCGTGCCTGGGCTTTGAGCGCGCCGAGGCAGCGCTCGTGGGAGATTCATGTTCTCATTGCGGGAACATGACCATCGCGATGTTGCGATCGAGGCTCCTCTTCATGAAACGAGGGGGAGTCTCCCTTGCTATGCCCCGATCAAGTTCCTCTGTCTCACAGCAGCGGAGGAGTTCTTCGGCGTATGGTCAGGGTGATCTGAGGATTACAGTGAGGGCTTCCCCGCCGAGTGCATCTCCGCGGGCCCCTCACTCCTCCAGCACATCGCACCCTGTGGTGTTCCGTGATGAGACTGCTGAGCCCCCGGAGGCGGGGCCTAGCATCTCGTTCGGAGCCCCGGCGGACGACAGTCGATCACTGCATCGGAAGATGAGCTAGGCTCTGGAGATGAAGACTCGGCTGCTTTGCCTCCGTCAGGGAAGGTGGCATTGCCCGAGTCAGATCCAGAGCTGACTGCTATGCTTTCCCGGGCTGCCGAGAGCGTCGGGTTGCAATGGAAACCCCCTCCATCTCCGGCGCGCTCGAGGCTGGATGATTGGTTCCTGGGGGTGCCGTACGCCGATCCTCGGCGTCCACCTCCGGTTCCATTCTTCCCGGAGGTGCATGAAGAGGTTACTAGGTCTTTGAGGGCATCTTTTTCTGCCTGAAACAGAGCTAGTGCCTCTTTCTTCCTCACTACCCTCGACGGCGGGGTGGCTAAGGGGTATGTGGAGATCCCCCCAGCTGGCAGCAGGAAAGCGGCGCAGCAAGCGGCGTCCCTGAGACGGGCGACCCAGAGACTCTGGATCCTGCTCTTCAGGAGATGGTGACTGCACTCCTTCCCCCGGAGTGGTATATCAACTGCCTCGAGTTGCTAGCAGTATGGCTTTCTCCGCGCCGCTTCAAATCGCTGCAACACGACAAGCACGTACTGGTCCGGACGGACAATACTGCGACCGTTGCGTACATCAACCACCAAGGCAGTCTACGCTCCTGTCGCATGATCTGGTCATCAGGTTCCTTAGGTATCATCTTAACCGAGACGATACTTATACTAGAAAACAAGACACGAATACTAAATAAGAAAATAATTTTTTGTAGTGTGAACTATGCATACATGATGCTGTTTTCTTTACAATTGTTTAAGCAACTTAATTATATTTGGTTTATGAACGTTACGCACTTTTTCACAGATAGTCATGTTGATTTATTGATTTAATAAACGTGTATTAGCAATATTTTGCTTTATGCACCTTCTTGTGACCTCAGGAGAGAAGCCAAAAGCTTTTTTGCCCCCCTAACTGAAATTATGTCTTTTAAATTTGAATATTGATAATATTTAAGTGCAAAATTTGAATTTAGTTTAGTCTAGTGTTCACTAATGAAAGAATACAGCAGCGTCTGCTTTGTGTTCCCAGCTGAAGCTGAATCCGTCGTGGAGAGAGGAGGTGCGCTGTTTATCTCAGCTCTCATACAGCGGTCCTCTGCCCCAGCAGCAGAACAAACACAACGCCCATCGCACCAACATGTTGCACGCCAACGCACTGTGCCACTTCCACATCGCCGCCAGCATCAACCCAGCCACAGGTAACACACACCAGACCTTCAGCCTTCACATGTGACACAGACATGACCCAAAAAACTCATGAAAATATGTAAATGTATTTGTATCATACTTAACTTGAAATAAATGTTAATACATTTTATTTATGAAATAAAACTTAAAATACATTTAAGTATATTTATTTTTCAAAAGGGATAATAAGTGTAAAATAAAAATAAAATAATAAAACACTTATTAAAATTAATTAAATCATAAATGTAAAATGTAAATAAATTAATTAATTTTAAAATATCAAAAATATATCAATATATCAAAAATCAAATACAGTAGTATATGGTTTACCAAATTAGGGGTTCACGAGTTGATAAAAAGCTAAGAATAAAAACTAATAAAAACGTAAAACTAAAATAAATAATTTTTAAAAATCAAAACACAATGCTTACTAAAATGCATTAAATCATAAAAATTTATACATTTTAATATAAAAACAAATCAAAATAAGCCTCTTGGAAAAGAGTAATGTATTATATTTGTGTATCTGCATGTCATGTGACCGTTAACTGATATCAGAGAACCGTGAATGTGTGTGTTAAATAAAAAAGTTTGGGAATCCCTGTAATAACACGTGACTAAACCTCCAGCATGATTCATAATGAATTAGCTGTGTGTGTCGTGCTGTTTTTAAAACACTGTTAAAGAGAGCATTTTTTCATAATCGTAAGATTTTTTTAAGGTGACTTTTTAAAATTCTGTCAAGGGTCTACAGATGAGCCTTTTTGCTAATTCTGGTACATTTACAGTAATGTTCATTAATGCGCATTGCCCCTGTAAGCAAATACACTTAAACTTAAACAGTGATTTTTAGAGCTTTGTGTGACAAACAGGACACAATTTCCGCCTGCTGTCGCTCTGAAATCTCATCTCTGTAGCTCCACAAACCTGCTGTTAAAGTGCATGCAGGAAGCAGTGACAGATAATGTAAGTGTGAATGTGAGGGTGATGTTTGTGTGCAGACATCCCTCTGCTGCCCTCCATCTCGTCCATGAACGGCTCTGATGAGGAGGAACCGGGCGGCCCGTTCACCGTTCACTGGCTCAACAACAAAGAGCTGCACCTGACGCTGAGCATGGAGGTGTTTCTACAGCAGCTGAGGAGCAGCGGCGAGCAGAACGGACCCACAGAGCGCTACGGTACCGTGTGCATCATCTGAGCCTTATATCAGAGGACAGGACTGATTTACGGTGTTTACATGTGAGAGTGACACTAATGTGAGCATTCGGATGTGAACCAAGATGAGGCAGAACCATTTATTAAAGGGACATTTACGTTTAGTCATTTAGCAGACGCTTTTATCCAAAGCGATTTACAGATGAAGACAATAGAAGCAATCAAAACTAACAAAACAGCAATGATACGTACCTCAAGTGCTATAACAAGTCTCAGTTAGCTAACACAGTACACATAGCAAGGCTTATTATTTTTTATTATATAATAAATAAAGAGAAAACAGAATAGAAAAAAGAAAGAAAACAGAATAAAGAATAGAGCAAGATAGTGTTAAGAGGCCTTTTTTCGCATTTTGTTAATTGTATAATTAAAAAAAGAACACAAATAGATAGAATACAAAAAGATTAGAGAAGCAGTTAGTAAATGAATAAAGTCTAAAAGGGGCAAAATTTTTTTTTAAAGAATAGAATTAGAATAGAGAGTGCTTAGAGTTAGAGTGTCAAATAAAGATGGAAGAAATACATTTTTTTTATTTACATTTGCTGTTAATTTTCTAACTCTCAGGCCATCCGAGATGTAGGTGACTCTTCTTCTTCTTCAGTAGAACAGTACAGAAGATTTTCAGCTGAAACCGTGCTCCTTGGTGATTCATAACATGCAAGTCAATGGGTACCGGCACTTTGAGAATAAAAAAGCATATCAAGGAACACAATATGAATCCTTGTGGCTCCTGATGATATATTGATGTCTTGAGAAGTGAAACGATCGGTCTGTGCAAGAAAGTGAACATTATTTATGACATTATTATCTGTAAGAGAGCCCCAGGCAGATGTGTAAATCTGACTCTTGTCCATTAACTGGTTCTGTTGGTTATTAAAGCAGCCAATAATAATGTGAAAGGTGGATGTTTTATAGTTTAAAGCATATAAAGTCAATAAACTAGTCTTCATCAGCTCAGCTTTTTACATAAAGCATGAGAAACCATGAAAGCGTTCATCTCAGCCCTTCATTCGAGCTCTGGGTTCACACATGCTCATAGCAGCGGCTCGTCGGTCTTCGGTCCGAGTCGAACTGTGTCCTCGGTTCAGTGACTGCTGGAGGAACTGGAGCTGAATCCGTTCATTCATCACAGGATCAGATACGCAGATATTTCAGCTCATTTCCAGTCGCAGTGACGGTCAGGCAGATCGAGTAACTTGTAGATCTGTGCTGCTCGAGCCACGAACTGATTCAGACGATTTGATGAACTGGTTCAACTAGTTCACTAAAAAGAGCCGATTCAGAATAATGATTCGTTCGTGAACCGGACATCATTCCGGATGCTTTGTCTGGGGCTCTGGATTACAGGTAATAATGCTGTAAATAATAATCAGTTTCTTGCACAGACTGATCGTTTCACTTCATATCGTCAGGAGCCGTGTGTATTAATTCTGTGTTGCCTGATTTGTTTTTTTTGAAGTTTGAAGTTTAGTTTATTTCTAGAGCACATTTAAAAACAACAGTAGTTGACCAAAGTGCTGTACATAAAGGGTCGTAAAACAAACAACAATAAGGTACTGTACATAGTATTGTACATTACAGATTTAAAAAATATATATATAAAAGGTTAACAGAGTGCTGTCTGTCAGTCAATTAAAATAAAAATTAATTAATCACACATTTTCCTGTAATTAATCATGATTAATCATATATTTATATTGTCATAATTTCACATTGAACCTCCAAATTAATGTAGAAACAACATAAAGATAGTATATTTTAAATACGTGTTATGACCAGAAGTTATGTACAGAAGTTATGACCGATAACACTGTCTTTAAACTCGGTTAAACTAGAGTTGAGGATAACTCATAACTCTCTCATAAACGCTTGTCAACGTTGCCGTCCATTTATGTTGCGGTCTCTGTAGATTGTTGTTTTTGTTGTTGTGTCTCTTTCTTTTCTTTTTCGGATGGCCTGGGCCAGTGTTGCCACCTTGTGACAAAACATGTATAAGCCTTTCAAAATCATTAAATGACAAAAAATTCCTAACTTTAGATAAAAGCCTTAACTGATAAAGACTTTACTGCAGAGTTTATCTGTTTGTCAAGTTTAAAATCCATATCCAATATTACACCCAGGTTTTTTAACAGTGGATTTAACATGTGGAAGCAAAGGGCCCAGATCAATGTTAGAGACCTTGTTTGTACAATTTGGACCAAATATCATAATTTCAGTCTTGCTCTCATTAAAATGTAAAAAAATTACATCCAATCTTTAATGTCCCAAAACACTTATTGAGTCCAAAAGTATTGACTGTGTGATGAAGCTTATTAGAATGCAGTTATAATGCCCCGTATTTCAAGTTATGAAAGCAATAATATCCATGTATGCTTTAAAAAATATTTTTAAGATATGATATAATTAATATCACACAAGCAAAAGTGCCATTGTTCCAAATATCAGCGCATGAGCGTGATTGCAAATCAGCCTTTTTTTTTTTTATACAGCAGTTCAAAAACAAGAAGTCAATATTGCGTTTTAATTTTAGACACAATATTTTCTGTTTCTTTCTGTTTTGCCAATGAAAATAATTTTGGAACCTCAGCGGCTCAGATGGAGGGAGTCTATGGAGACTCCTATGTTCATTGGTGCATCACAAAACACAACAATTGTAGTGCCTCTTTAGCTCTGACATTGTATATCTCCAGCAAGAAAACATTAATGGTGGACTGCTGCTTCTCTCTCAGGCCTAGGGGTCTGGGCAGAGAGAGAGAGAGATTGCAAGCTCGTAGACAGGAGTGTGTTCGACCAAAGTCCCTTTCTCAGTTCGACTTGCGCAGACCGATCGCTGTGTGACATCAAAGCACCGGGAGAGCTACAGAGAGCAGATGGCTCCGCATGCTTTTGAATCACTCTCACTGTACTTTGATGTGCGACTGGTCTGCGCGCCGCTGCTTCAAATCCAACACACCTCATCTCACAGCCGCTCCGTTTTGATTGCACACTTATCCTCACATCTGCATGTAAACATGTCGTCGGCGTGGAAGTTCTTCATTGTGAGTTAAACAGACACAAAGTTTGGAATTTGTAATACAATATTTACTGTTTTTGCTCAAGTTCGCTGACGAAGTTTCAATCAAAGCCACGGCAGAACTGTTTTGTGTCTCCGAGCAACACAGCGGTGTTTCGATACTGAATGAATCCACGAGTCAATGATTCAGTAACCCATTCATAAAGACAGTAGTCACTCGTTTTTGAATGAATCAGCCGTTTGAATGAATGACTAATGACTCACTCATTAAAACCGTCATTTACCGTCATCTACTGGTGGTTTGGTTTCATATTTAAAAGTGTTGCATTTTTCCTAACATTTTAACCTGTATGTTCACAAATATTTAAAACATTACTCTTATAAAATAATTTATGCATTTAAAATTTTGTGGTGTAAATGCATTTATAGCATAACATTTTCTTCTGGCGGGGGATGCCCCCAGACCCCCCCTACAAGGGTCATATTCCATACTATGTCACCTTTTTGACCTCTTGTGAGTCTGCAGGTATGCTCCTTACAGTTTTTCCCTGATACATTCATGATCATTATTTCTGCTGGTGTGCTGTGGCAAGCTTTATGCCTGCGCTTGAGCGCTTATTAGGCTATGTAGGCAATTAAAGGCGCATTATCATGATTTAAACGGGTTATTAAAAAACATATGATTAGTCGACCAGACAAATCTTTAGTTAAAGCAGTGTTCATTTTTACAGCAAATTTTGATTTAGTTTTAGTCATATTTTAGTCATCTGAATTGTTTTTAGTTTTAGTCGACTAAATCTACAGTAAATTCAGTCGACTAAAATCGAATGGGTTTAGTTACAGTGTAATGCATTTATTAAGCATTTCTCTAAAATGTCCAAACTCATTATATAGGTTTGATATTAAGGTTTTATCATGATAGACACTGATTTAACTGCGGTGACACACAACACGCCTTTATGTTCAAATGAAGTAAAACCACTTCTCATAAAGAACAAGAACATGGTCTACTTTTTAATGAAATACCAATGGTTATACCGGCTAATTATGCATTCTTTATAGCAACTTGTTTACAATATTCTTCATTCTTTCAAGCAGACATATTTATTTCTATAAATAAATTTAGATTAATCTTTAGGGCTACTAAAGTTTTTCAGTCAAGAGCAGCGCGTGATTCTTTTGTTGCTTGATTAACATCAATGACTCAATAGCAACTAAATTAGGCTGCTGTCCCTTTAAAACCGAATGCACAGCTGCAATGGATGCAATGTACTGATACACGTTCTCCCTGCTGTTTACGTTCACTTAAGACGTAATCAACTGTGTTTACGTGAATACTCGTCAAAACGGACAATTAGACATAATTTTGTGTGTAATTCTCCGTTCATGCGACGCGAGAGAGTACTTGCTGGCTGTGTGAGGCGCTTTCTGTGTGTGTACGTGCTCAGAAAACCGGACTGAATTGAGTTCTCTCTTGTGCCGTCAGATGTATCCATATGTCTGCTCTTCTCTTACTCCCACATATTGACATTTTTTTATGTTTTATGCGACGTGCAGCAAGTGTATGTTAGCTTATGTCCCGCCGGTTCATATGTACGCAGCTAACCTCCGAACCACGCAGCAGATCCGTTCTAAATTAATCTCTTCCCAAATCGTCCCTCCCTAACATTTTAGTCTCGTTTTTATTTGTTGACGAAAATGTAAATAGATTTACGTCGTAGTTTTTGTCATTCAAAAAGAGTTTTAGTTTGTTATTGTCTCATTGTCGTCGGTGAAAAAATGAAATAAATGAAATTGGTCAAAGGCAGCCCTACTGATCTTTCATCTCTGAAGTGTTCTTTCTGTTCCCAGGTTTCCTTCGTGTCCAGGATTCCCGTGGCCTTCCCCACCGGCGACGCCAACTCTCTCAGCCGCAGCGTGGTCATGTACGCCTGCAACAGAAATGTGGACCTGGCCATGCAGCACGGCCGTCAGCGTCCCGCGGGCCTGCCACACTCGTCCTCCTCGGCTCTGATCGGACAGAGCCAGAACAAAACCTCCTCCAGCAGCCTGCGTCTCAGCATCTTCACCCCCAGTGTCCTGATGATCTCCAAACATGCCGACGGTTCGCTCAACCAGTGGGCCGTCAGCTTCGCCGAGGACTCGGCCTTCTCCACGGTGCTCAGCGTGTCTCATAAGTCACGGTACTGCGGTCATCGCTTCCACCTCAACGATCTGGCCTGCCACTCTCTGCTGCCGCTGCTGCTTACCACCTCGCACCACAACGCCCTGAGGACGCCCGCCGCCGCTCTGACCGCCCCGGCCCGCAGGAGCAGAGTCTCGCAGGACCCCAGCGCCATCTACAGCGAGCTGATCCTATGGCGGGTGGATCCGGTGGGGCCGCTGTCGTTCTCTGGTGGCGTGTCGGAGCTGGCCAGGATCAACTCGCTGCACGCCTCCGCCTTCTCTAACGTGGCCTGGCTGCCCACGCTCATCCCCAGCAACTGCCTCGGTGAGGACTGCTTCCTTAGGTTCTGACATAAAAGCAAAACTCGCTGTGGAAACCAGGGGCCAGTTGTTCAAAAGTAATCTGATCGGATTTTGGCCATCGGATTGGATCAAATCTTGAAAATGGGTTGTTCAAAGGAAAAAAAGGATTCTGAATTCGGATTAGATCACAAAATCCAATCTGGGTTTTGATCTGGATTAAATCCTCAATTCAAACATTTTAGTAAGATACTTTTGATCCCAAAAAACTGGATTGATCTTATCCCAGCAGAAGGGTGGATTTCAGGAACAAAAATTTAATAACTTTAAACCTGGTCCAAAAAATGCAACATTTGTAACATGATACATATCCCCAAACAGCTGTCAATATCAAACAAATATCAATATAAAAAAAAATTCTATTTAATTTAAAGTTTTCTTTTTTTCATCACTGATTGTAAACTACATTGGCACAATCATCAGAGATGGAGCAGTCAGAAGTAGTTATGTGTGTAAATGCAATGCAAAATGCAAAACATTGGCATTTTGTTCTCCATCAGCATGTCCCTTTAGGGGCTCCGTAGAGCTCTAGTAATCCAGATTTGGAAATCTGGAAAAGTGTGTATCTGGATCAGGGTGATCCAATCCAATTTTGCTTTGAAAAACCGGCATTAAAGTACGATGGGTCACCTGGTCCCGGATCGCAAAATCATGGGATTTCCAAATCCAGATCATTCTGATCCAGATTAAACTTTTTGAACAGCTGGCCCCAGGGTTCGTACAAGGTGCTTAAAGGAGTCATCAGATGCCCATTTTCCACAAGTTGACATGTTTCTTTAGGGTCTTAATGAAAAGTTTATAACATACTTTAATTAAAATTTCTCAATGGTAGTGTAAAACAACACCCTTTTTACCCTGACAAAAACAGCTCTGTTCACAGCAACCCGTTTTGTTGCATGTCCCTTTAAATGCTAATGAGCTCTGCTGACCCCGCCCCTCTCTTCCGTGGGGTGGTGAGATGTTCTGTTAACTTTAGCCGCAT